TGTTTCTTGGACGGAAAGTTTATGGATAGTTTAAAGCAACAAAGCAAGAACCTGCCGCTCAGATTTACCCTCTCCCACAACCGTTTGACATCCATTCGCTTACTGTGTTGCTTGGTGTAGTCGGACATTTTAAAACTTTTATTCAAAATTTTGCAAAAAAAACCAACAAAAAAACAGGGTGCTCTACGCAATTAGCTTATCAAGGTGTGCCCTCTGAACCGTCCACTGAGAGTGAATAAATATACCTGTGTCTAGAACACGCGATTTAGTCTTCATCCGGTGCCAATTTTTCCTCACGTCGATGTTTCGTTTCAACTGAACACGAATATATCACAATACGACACCGGTGTTGTCCTTTACCAACGTAATTCGACGAAGCCAACACCTGAGCAACTCTCTTTAATGCTATATGACTTGCATACCTTTTTGAAGTTTGAAGTGAATTACAGAACGACGGAAAAGGAAGGCCTTGCTGTACACGTGGCAGTGCGATACTTTTGTTTGTACCTCGATGGCCACAAGTCTAACCTTTTCACAGATCCCCAAGTGTTACCATACCCCATCAACATGAATGAACCCCCGCTCCCAAAAAATACACCGAGTTAAAATAACTAATTCAAAATATTTTGTTTGAGGTATTTCATCGCCTAGGGTTTGGCCTTACAGACGCAGACGTATTGTCGCGTCTATCTATTTCCAAGATACGGCAAGAGACGCAAGTACTCTTCTACATGCAACTGTGAAAAGGCACTGAAGATTGAACCTTCAGCAATGGAAAGTTTGAAGTCACAGTAATAGCAATTAATTCATTCCTCAGGCTTGGTTCTGATAGGATCGGTTCAGGCGGCCATGATGATTTCTTTCGGACATATGTAAGCTGGCCCATGGAGACTTTTGGCGTGGGATGAAAAAATACATCTATCAACCAGCGATTCTATGGAATGACTTTGGCGGTACACTCTGATATACTATTTGAAGTATTTTATCTCGATTTCGCTGCACTAAAGAAGAAAGGTGAGCGAGTGGCTAGAACCCAAGCATTCTTGATAGCCTTCGACGAGTGCACGCGCATTGCCGCCTCAAGAGCATGAAAAAGTGCAAACAGCTTCATTGCCAAGCTAGATCGGGACACGTTTTTAAACAAGGTTATCTTGACCAACAATGGGCCTGCCTTCCAGAGCAAGGCTCCAACAATGTGCGAGATCAAAATAAATAAGGCTTCGCTTCGCCGCACCCTATTGCCCGGAAGCAAACGGCCAGCAGAAAGATTAACATGAGATGTTAAACAGTGGTTTTCTATGTATCTTAACTTTTGCGGCGGATGAAGTGTGCCAATGAGTCCGCGGTTGCAAATCATAACAGCTCACATACGACTACCCTGTAGTCCCAAATTCGCTGCCTTGAAGCAACTACCTTACTTGCCCGTGGATCTAAAATATGGCATCAAACACGATTTATTGCAGGCGGAAGAAAAGAAGAGCCCTCAACAAGAGATCTGTGAATATAAATTTTGACAAACGATTTGGTTCTACATCGAAGAATAAAATGTGCGGTTTTGCCATTGTTCGGAAAGGCATTCATGAACCAAACAAAAAGTTTTTTGTTCGTTACGGAGTCACGAAAACAGCTACCACGCAAGGCATACTGAACACCATTTGGTGCACCACTGCAAAGAGAGTCACTGAATGCGACGCCATCGAAAATGCCTTTCCGTATCATTCAAAGTGGTATGATACCACGGACACGAGCATCACGGAATGTGATATCGGCGGAAATGTATTCTCCTAACAATCTAAAACGGATCATTTTCAAAATGCTAGAATAATATGTCAATTAGTTAACTGTAGTGCTAACGAACTTTTCTGAAGAGGACGAAGTAGGAGGGGGACGAAGAGTAAGAGGAAAACGGAGGGAGGGAATTATATGAACGGTTTAGTAAAGACTCATATATCGTAACTGATTCTGCATTTTGTATTATGGAACGTTACAAGGTTCAGTAATTTCTTTAAATATTTTATTATACAATTGTGGATGTGATATTTTTAATTAGAATATATTAAACACAGCTTTCGCGATTATATTTTGGAACACGCAAAGGTGCCAATATCGGAATGAAATGCTTTTGTGCACCATTGCGTCCTCATTCAATGGAACGTTTTCATTAAGAATTCGAAAGGAACGTACATACACGACGTATCCGTGTAACTGTGAAATCTCACCTGAATACTTTGTGTTACATACAGTCCGCTAGGTTGCTTAATAACTGGTGTCTAAGAATAGCTTCGTTTTTATGTCTTTCTAGCAACCTCAGTTATGTTTTAAATAAGCTGGTGATGATTGTACAAAATCTTATTTTTTCAATTGCCTTTCTATAGATTAAGGCAAGGACTTACAATTGATTTGTTTGCAGCAGCTGGTTGTCACTTACAGGCCGATGCATAACTCCAACTTTTCTACTGGCTCCCCTGTAGCCAAATGCCCTGGCACAACTGTGTGGCCGCCTCTTCATATCATGCTTCAACCACATTTCTGAAGTGCCTCAAACCCACGCCTGGCGATCTGCTTCCAGAGTAATAATCACCGAAAAATGGCGTTTACGGAGTTTTTAAGGCAAAAGTCGTACTTGTTCCATTGAGCAAAAAAGCTTTGTATAAGCGAATAGAAATACGATTGTTACACGCCCGCTCAATGAACGACCCTTCTTGTCCCATTTTTCATTCCGTCGTCCGTAAGGTGGTATTAGAAGCCGCCCCAGACAACTAGGACGATCTCACTTAATACACTAAGTGAAAAACAAGCGCCTTCGTCGTTGTGCCCGAAATATGGCCATAAAAATACGCCATCAAGCGCCATCAACGTGATGTCATCAAGAGTCATCATACGTCTTCAGCGTGATGTCACCATTGGGGTGCCGTGTACAGAAAGGTGCGCTTTGGACTTCATCTGGTGGTCGTTGTTCAGGGGAATCGGCAGCCGAGTGGGGCTAGCGCACACCTGCTGGGAGCACGGGGAGCGAGAGCTCGCGCTGCAGAACCCAAGGATCCTTGGTGTAACCCCCACCCCTGCTTGTTTTGACCTGTATGAGCCTTGTATCGGCGTGCGATCGTGTATCACTACTGCCTGATGCACCTTAAAGAACCCAGGCTAGCATTGTACTGCACTGTCTAAATTTCTTATCTACACCGACGACATAAGTCGCCCTTTGAGGCAGACTAAGTTCTCGGCTGCATAAGCATACCTCTCCCCCTCGCATTTTTTTGTAATCGTTTTGTGCTTCGTGAGATTGGCTGTGAAGCGACCGTGTCCACATCTACGGCTACGACATCGACAGCAGCGTCTACATCTACTGCGCCTTCTGCAGTCAAGCATGGCCGCCCGCGCAAACACGCCACAGCCTCCTTAATTGTCCTCCTGCTGTCGTTCTCGACGTCGCCCTAGATTTCGTCCTTTAGGCGCCATTCTCGACGTGCTCCTAGACGTCTTCTTTAAGGTCGAAATATAGGTTGAGTTAGGAATCGTCCTAGACGTCGTTCTCGACGTCGTCCTAGACCTCGTCCCCGAGGTCGTCCTTGACGTTGTCCTAGACGTCATGCCAGAGGTCGTCTTAGACGCCGCATTTCGCGTCGATCTCTAGGAAGTCGTCCTCCACGTCGTACTAAACGTAGTCCTACATTTTATTACGTGCAGAAACATTACTCTAAAACATTTCTTCCGCGGGATTATAATGATTTTGACCTCCTACACGTAAGCAGTCTTACGTGTACGCGTGTAATTTCATATGACGGCCACCATGCCATAACCACTAGGAGTTCGGCCGCGCCATACCCAAGTGCGACCTAAATCTGACTGCTTGTACGACGTTCCAAAAAGACGTCGTTACCCGATCAGACACCGGGTGTCACGGCCTCACGTGAATACACACGACGTAGTGATTTAGCGGAACCTCATGGGGTTGGGCTCTCGTTTTGGCGCGTAGTAGAACCAGTGGGAAGTTTAGTCGGGCCTAAGTATGGGCGGACCGCTCTCCCAGTGGTTATCATCTGTTAGGTGGAATTAAAAAATACCCGCGTGCACGCCATTTTGGGGCTATTCAAAAGATAGATGCAGCTGTCCAGGTGTGTGTTTGAGACACTTAAGAAAAAGTGGTTCCAGCAGCACATAAAGAGACTTTGAATTAGATTGTTCAAGAGCATTCGGCTCTTGGGGTGTTCTGTCGAGAATATGGACAAATGTGCCAACTTCGGAGAGGCCTGTTTTTGTTTTAAACAAAATATTTGTAAATCAAGATGGTACCTCCCTTCATATCCTTCATGAAATTTAAAATATTTTACACACCGAATGATTCTGCTTTTGAATTTTAGAATACTACTCCTTCTCATTGCTATAATATTCATCAATATTTTTTTTATATTTCTCAAGGTTTCGATCTTGTTGTTACTCTAGAAACGCTTCCTTGAAAACATATTTGAAATTCAACTCATAAATGATACCGGGTTCTACAGTCTACTATCTTGTGTATTCCTGCACAGCTGTTCGCTACATGGAAAGTTTTTTTGTAACTTTTTTTTGAAGCAGAGTTATACCACGTTAATAAGATGGTAATATATTTATGTGAAACAATTCACTGGGGCAGACAAAACCGGAGATTAGAGATCATAGCACCTCTTCTTGTTTGTGTTTTTATTTTGTACCTTTAGAGGTTATTGATTTGGAGGACTTGACGATGCCTGCACCTTGCAGTTACTAATTTCTTTTCTTTTTTGTGAAATAATTGTTTTGACTCTTCACTTAAACTGAATGATTTGGCGAGTTCATTGTTTTTAAGGGATATTTAAGAGTGACAACGCAATTCTGTATTTGTCGTTTATGTTGTATATGCGATTTAAGTCGAACAAAACCAATATTCTTTGTTATGCCTTCAATACGTGATTGAATTTCAAATAAAATAAAATGGGAGGGCTTTTTAGAATATGTTTTTCGGTGTGAACATGCATTCGCAGTGACGAGGGTTCAATGAGCGAGGATGGTCGGCTCACATACCTGGGCCGCATCAAAGAGATGATCAACTACAGGGGCTTGAAAGTGCCGCCGCTGGAGATTGAGAATGTCCTCAGCACTCACCCGGACCTGGAGGAGGCGCAGGTATGGTTCTGATAGTACGGCAGACAGTGCCAGATGTGTATGTATAGGTTCGTTAGTTACAAAGGCTTGGTTTTCGACAGCGCGGCCTCGACTTGTTTTCCTCTGTTCAATAAATCACCACACCATCCATCATAGTACAATTGAACACTAGTGAAAAATACACCAAGCCGAGGGCTGGTGTGACTTGATATGAGACCAGGCTTTTTCACAGATGTGATTTGGGACATTTTGGCACCAGCAATCTGGTGTTCTGATGTTCTGGTGTGACACCAGCAATCTGGTGTTCTGGTGTGACTTTAGGTTTCGTTGACCAGAGCACCTGTTGACGGTGTTGCTTTACTCACAAAAAATGTACAATGATAAGTTGGACTTAAGTATGCTGCTGTCATAATTTCTTAATTTGAGAAAGCAGAAAAGCACAACAATAAAGCTTCGGAAGTTTTACAGTAGTAAGGACTTGGACGTGATCAACTGTAGCTTGTCCAGAGCCACTGCCCTGCGTCGAAGAACCGGAAGCCTTGTGGTTCCGCAATTCTTGACCTTTCAGCTTGCGGTTGACTCGTGGGTTAGTTAGGCTGATCTGTTCCGTCTACCCCTCCGCGCCAGTTATCTCCTCTTCTAAGGTATCATATTCGACAGATGGCTCGATTTTCTTTTCCAGCTCTTTCAGGGAAGCCTCTTTAAGTAGAAGAATATCAAATCTTTCTTTGAGCTCACCGATGTCGGTTGGATCCGTGGCCAGCATAACGCCAATCTCGTTGGTGATCTTTCTGTGGCGGCTCGCAGGGTAGTCCTGTTTCGCTTCAGGCAGTCGACGCCCTCCTGGCTCGTAGGCATGATCTGGCCGTTAATTTCCGGGTTTCGGCACCAAAAACTGCAATAATTACTAGATTTTCTTGTTGTTTTGGTACCAGACCATGTCTAAATATTTTTAGCTCGTCGGAAGTCAGGAAAGCCCACCAACACATATCTTTTCAGCTTCGACTCAAAGAGAAGACTCCTTTATTTTCAAAAACTTTAACAAGAATACTGGCGGGAAGGGGGATGGAAACCACCGAAGACGCGAGCGCCTGAAGACTCAAGGCCGCCCAGGAAATTGCTGAGGACGAGGGCGACACTTTTTGAGCACAAAGGAGCCCGCCACGGGGTCTCCGGCAACAACCAAGACGAGAGGAAACGAGGCGCCACGTCGGGGGGAGGGGCGTTACAGAAACTAAACAAAAACACCCTCGCGGACGGGGGAAAACCCTACTGAAAAAAACCATTTGAAATTCAAACGGGTGGCAAACTGGTAAATCAAACGGGTGCAAACTTGTCGACCCGTTTGGATCAAACGTGATTATGGGATACGGGTAGCCGTTTGAAACGGTACCCGCTCGAAACGGTACCCATTTGATACAGGTGCCCGTTTGATACAGGTGCCCGTTTGATACAGGTGCCCGTTCGACCTTGCACGTGACCACACGTTTGAACGTGCCATTCGAATCGGAAAATTATGCGCTAGCCCTAAACGGGGATCGTCTGGTAGGTTGGTTATCTTAAACTTATTTAAGACGTTCCGAAACTCATAAACCTATTTATAACATGGAGGAAACACGTAGAACAAATATGCTCACGTAGGTGCTTGCAAATGGACAGGTAAACAGACACAAAAGATTGTTTTCAATTCTCCTCAAAGTTTATTACGTCTTCTGTAGACAAGTACAAACGTGCAAGCGATCTGTGAAATGTGAGAGGCACTCTAAGCTTTTATACAACTGAGAAGATATCAAACCAAACATGAACCAAGGTAATTCTAGACTATGAAGGTAGGCTTTCGGGAAATTATTCGCCCGGCTGCCGCGAGAATAGTGGCTGCATAATTATATAGATAATCTGGAAGAGTACGAGTAGAAGAACAGTCAATCGTTGCCAAGAAGTAGGTTGCAGTGCACTTACCATAAAAATAGCGGACTTGAAAGATGTAATCCGTGATATTTGTCGACACGGTCAAAGCAGGACAACCACACAAACACAAATGAGAGGGAACGGCTTCTTGGAAGTTTCAACACGATGTGGCGCACAAGCTGTCCAGTTGCCGAACCCAACCAAACCGCAAGAATTCCTGACTTCTTTGAAGAATCGCTTGTTGCCGATATAGACCTAGGACGTTTCGAACACTGATAGCTTTGGTGCACATCCAATACGTTGTCGAGAGACATTCTAATAAGACCGCAGTGTTAGGCGACAGATCGAAGCAGGTGGATGCGCTAAGTTCGAGCTGGAACTGACAACAAGCAGACAAAGAAAAAAGCGGCTGCTAGGCGCACCCTTCCGGATCTCGATGCTTATCAGCGTGTAGCTCGCGCGCGGCTGTGGGTCACGTGATGGGTGACAAGAGAGGAGGGAGGGGGCGAGGACCACAGGGGACAGCCCCTCTCCCTCTCCCCAGGCATTCCAGAGAGATGTGTTTTTGTAACCTCAAAAAAAAAAAAAAAACACACGCGCGCGAGCATTTTAGCATGCTCGAATTTTGGGAATGGCGGCGGGGCGGCCAGAAGCTCGGCTTGCGCCCGAACGAAGAAAATACTCAGCTCGAGCTCGTAGTTCGACTGCTGCAACGGCGGGCGTGCTCTCGCAATGCTCGATGTTCTTGCAGCCGCGTGTACGCGTGCTACCTTCGCTGCGTCTTGAATTAAAGTGAAACGGAGTCTAAACGTACATTCTTTCACGCGGTCGCGTCTTCTGCGAGAGAGATTCGAGCTGAATAAGCAAATTGAGGCAACAAAGATGGACAAAGTTTTAAAGTTCTGTCAAAAATATCGGCTCACCAACGTCGCGCGTTTACGTAAAACAACAACAACAAAAAAAAAGGTGTTAGTTTTAGTTGCAGTATAAGCGAACATCAGCGCAATTGAAATATAAATATAATTACTTGCATTACGCGGACGATCTGAAATCGATGAACCGGCGCTCCCAGCCTTCCGGAAACATTGGCTGCCACGGCTGAAACGTTAGCCGTGCCCACGCCGCCTATCTGTACGTTCGAAAGCTAACGGGCTTCGGAGAGCCGTTTGATTAAACCGGTGCAGTTTGCAACATGGTCACCGGTTTGAGCAAACGTGCGACAACTTTGCCCAAACGAGTCGCCCATTTGCCCAGACGAGTGACCCGTTTTTATTTATTTTATTTATTTGAACATACTGCCAGCCGCCTGTTGGCAGCCAAGCAGGTCACTCCTTTTGCCAAAGGAGTGACCTGTTTGTCCAAATCGGTGACCGTTATGGCTCATACGCTGGACCCCTTTGAGCCATACGGGCGACCCGTTTGACAAACTGGTGACCGGTATGGTTAAACTGTTACCGGTATGGACCCGTTTATTTCTATATAGGTGCCAAATGGTTTTTTTCAGTAGGGAAGTGAACAAAAATACAACACTGGTGCCATATCAGACTGCGTAATGTGCACACCAGGCCGCATGGTTGGCATATGAGCCCGTAGGGTGTGACATCAGACTCTCTAGGTGTGCCCACCAGGCTGGTGTGCGGAACATCAGCATTTCTGTTGGACACACCCAGCTGTTGTGCTCAATACACCAGCCACTGCTGGGGAGCACACCATATCTTCTGGTGTCACCCCAGGATTCTCTGATGCAAAGGTGCAAGCGAGCTGGAGAAGAATGACGATAATTATCTCTGGAAAAGGCGTACAGGGCGACAAGGGACAGATTTGCGTTTGTCCCTTGTCCCTCTGGTTTTCCTTATTCACGGATAATTATCATCGCCCCAAACCATCGTCGGTTAAAATTAGTGCCATTTTTTTCGCTACATTTGGCGCTGTAATCAGAGTAAAGTTACTAATTGCTGCGTCGACTTTTCTACTAATTGCTGCGTCGACTCAGTGCTGCGTCGACTTTTCTACATAAAAAACGTGTGTTTAGAAAAAAACAACCTTCGTGTGCGTTTTTTTTTTGCTTAGGTAAAAACATTGTTCCATTTGCACCCGAAAGTATCAATCATTCATCGGTGAATGCTGATATTTTAAGGTTAGTGGCACGATAACCAGATCCCACCTGGTAGATGGTGGCGAAGTTTTAGAAAAATGTTATGAGGTTGTTGGTTTCCCGACACCAATGCCACTCCTTGTACGCACGTTTCACTCATTGAAGCGGTGAGGGCTTCAACACAGTCGGAAGGATTTGATGTACAAAGCCAATGTAGAGTTGTCGACGCAGTCGCAAGGGTTTGATGTACAAAACCAATGTAGAGTTGTCCACGTTAAAATGTCTCCATGCCCTTTTATATAGTGTGATAACATCCTTCGTAGCACACGATGCCGACAGTACGCACTAAAAAAACGACAAAGAAATCGCCGTAAACAAAATGTCGCAATAGCGCTGTCAACAATAACAACGTGCAGGAAGACACCTTTTCACGCGCTTCAGAACACAACGAAAGAATAAGTGTCCGGAACTGAATGATCAGATGTCATCACCCTAAGCAATGCGCACATTAAACCACCCTAGGCCATGTTGAATCTCTTGCTTCTTGGGACGACAAAGCAGACCAATCACACAAGTCGTGTTCTGTTCCCAGCCGCTTGTCGGTCGTCTAAGATGTGTTTCATCCTGCGGTGTCTTCGTCATGGCAGATTTTTTGCTGGTCATTCGGATGCTCTTAATCGGCGTCGCTGTCGTGGCGATTCGTCATCGCACAAGCAAATAGGAATAATCCTATCCGCGATCACAAGTGATCATCGAGGCCCACGCGCCGAGGCTGCCTAAATGACTGACTCTACGGCGGTTGAAAAGCCGAGGTTGCAACACGTCGAAGCTACTGAGTGGGGAAGCTGATAGCCACCCAAATATTGACCGTGGAAAAACCGGCAACGTAATGAGTGCGGCAGATACCACAAGAAACGCTGAGCTCCTCGCTGTCGGATTTCGAAGCGCTCTCCAGAATCGAGCATTTGCCACGGCAACTATAGGCATCCGCTCAAAATATAGGCGTTCGAATATCGTT